TTTCCCCAGTCCCAGTGTATCTATGGAAACCCCCCTGAAAAGCACCCTGGTTGAGGAAGTTGTATCATTGCTGAGTCGCTTTCTGATACAGACACATGATCTGAGCCATAGCCTGCAGCCGAGGTTGGAGAGCTCGAAGTCTGAGGTCATGAGGTGATTTGTTCAGGACATTGATCCCAGGAGTCCTAACCCAGCCCAGGACTTCCCTACTGACCCCCTTCATCCCTGGGTGTAGCTGAGGCCCCTTAATGGTCCCATCTGGCTTCCACCATACCCTGTGTACTGTACAAATAGTATTGTTTTCAGGGTGCCTTGATATGAAAAAGGTTGCAAGGCTGCTGTTATGCTGTTTCTTTTGGATTCTTTCTTACAACCCCCCCCCCCCAAGTCTGAGCAGCAGCTTCCATTCTGTTAAGTATTGAGAAGTCTAAGGATGGGTAGTTATTGGGGCTCCTCTTTATTAATACTGGGATGAGAGCTGATCTCTGGTCTGATAAAGCACCAGTCTGTGTTTTGGTACCGACTAGAGCAGGGGTGGGCAAACTTTTTGACTCGAGGGCCACAATGAATTCTTAAACTGGACCGGAGGGCCGGAACAAAAGCATGGATGGAGTGTTTGTGTGAACTAATATAAATTCAAAGTAAACATCATTACATAAAAGGGTATGGTCTTTTTTTTCAATAGTTTTATTCATTTCAAACGGGCCGGATCCGGCCTGCAGGCCGTAGTTTGCCCACAGCTGGACTAGATTCTAGTCACCCTTGACTACTCAGAAGCTAGCGTTCTGGCCAGTACCCGCATTTCCTTAGATAGAAAGGGGAGGTAGAGGACTGTAAGGGCATTGAAAGGATAACAGTTTTTCTCTTTGCTGACTTACTTAGGCTTGAAACAGAGTCTAAAGATTCTGACACCAGAAAAAGCACTGAATATCCCTCAGGAGGAGGTTCTCGGCATCAGGGTGGGGTCGGTGACTCCTCCTCTCACATTTCCCTGGTGACTTGGGGTTTTGCTGTAAGTGTGGCATTGATGTGGATGCTAAGCTGGTCTGGGTGCTAGTTGTCTAAGAGGTCTTGACGGACCTTCATTGAAACAGAACGGGACTAGGGAAAAGTTGGGACTAATATCAAGTTCCAAATTGCCGTGGTGGAAATTTTTCCTCCAGCCCTGGAGATTTTGGTGAATTAGTTCAGGCTGGAATAGAACTCGGGGAAGGGAAAGTGCCCTTGACAGCAGCAGCAGGTGAGAGACATCAGTGAGAAGACCCTAGGCCACATAGAGGAGCTTGACCTTCCCATGTGACCCTGCCTTAGACTAGAGGAGGTGTGTGTATGTATGTGTGAGGATGGTCTGGTGGAATGGATTCCCTGTCATTTGGAAATGTTTCCATTGTTCAGAAGGAGATTCAGATTAGATTTGTTTCCTATTTCTCTTAAAGTAATATTCTCTAAAAAAAAGTATGGGCAATTAGAAGAAAAGATTGAAGAAAATCATCCATATTTTTTTTTTAGTTCCTTTGCCAAATGCAGCCAAATGTTTTATTTTTTTTCTTCTCTGCGTGAGGTTTTATATAATCTCCAGTTTGGGGTATTTTTGTTGTTATTTTATTAGTTTTCCCAGCCTAATCATTGTAAACATTTTAAAATGCTTGTACAGTGGTCCATCAAATGAATGGACCATTGTTTACTTAAGTATCACCCTATTGTTGGACATTTAGGTTATTTGCTATCATAAACAAGTTGTGATGAACATCTTGGTGTACAAAGACTTTTCATTATTTAGAGTTTTCCTTAGGATAGAAACCCGAAATTGAACATGCCAGGTTGTAGGATATGTTTTTAAGTACCTAAATATATATTTCTAAATGGTTTTCTAAAAAGAGAATAATGTATATGAGTATCCTCAAAGAGAGGGAGGAGGATTGAGAATAGCTTCTTCTGATTATGAAAATAATACACATTTATTAAGCAAATTTGAAAGTTCAAAATATAAAAAAGTACAAAGTATATCGAAGAGTGTAAAGAAGAAGAATTAAGCCCTAGCTGGTTTGCTCAGTGGTTAGAGCAGGCTGCGGACTGAAGGGTTCTGAGTTCGATTTGGGTCAAGGGCATGTACCTAGGTTGCAGGCTCGATCCCTGGCCTTGGTCAGGGTACATGTGGGAGACAGCCAACGATGTTTCTCTCTCCCCTTCCCTTCCACTCTAAAAATAAGTGGAAAAATATTCTCTGGTGAGGATTAACAATAGCAACAAAAATCACCTGTAATCTCACTATCTTCTATTAACATGTTGATGTACTTATATGTATTCTAACAAATAGGATCATACTATGCATATTGTTTTATAAACTGACTTTTTATTTTACTGTTGTAAAAAAATATTTTTATTGATTTTAGAGAGAAGAAGGGAGAGGGAGAAAGAGATAGAATATCAATGAGAGAGAATCATTGATCAGCTGCCTCCTACACACACCCTACTGGGGATCAAGCCCACAACCCAAAAATGTTCCCTGACCAGGAATTGAATCGTGACCTCCTGGTTCATAGTTTGATGCTCAACCACTGAGCTATACCAGCCAGGCTTATTTTACTATTTTAAGCATTTTCTCATTTATTTAAATATTCTTCAGTATCATAATTTTATGGCTGCATAGTACTCTATAATATCATATTTTATTACTGCCTTATATTTTTCTCTCTCTTTTTGCTACTGTTATTAACACTGTGATGAATATCCTGTGTATAAACATTTGTGTACCTCTCTGATTATTTTCTTAGGATAAATTATGAGAAGTCAAGTTATGGGTTATGAGAATATATACTTTTTAAAGGCTTTTGATAAATATGCCTTCTAAAAAAGTTGTACCAGTTTGCTTTTTCACTCATAGTGTCAGTATCTTCCTTTCTCTATAAACTAACAATTACTAGATGATTTAATTTTTAAAAATCTTTGCCAATTTCATTAATGAGAAATGATATCTTGTTTTGCTTTGCATTTCTATCAACATTTCATCATAGGTGTTTTGGCCATTGTTTGTTTGTGTCCTTTGCTCTCTATTGGGGTTTTATTATATATACATATTTCTATATAATAAATGTATACATTTTTCATACTTTTCCATTATAAAATATTTCTTTCATATAACTATGTAAGATTAAAAAATAGTAAAATGACCAACAGTGTATTCACTGTGTGTTCTTGAAATTGCT